CTTGTGTTAGGAATCTTTTGATAATTCTATGAAATATAGTGTCACCCTAATATCCTTCCATACATAATTGTATGAAATTTCTACATGCTTTTGGAGTTTCTTTTGCCCATGATTCTAACTCAACATCACCAACAGTTGTTTTCATTACAACCTAGTTATAACAAATATATCAGTTTAATTAATGTAAAATGCTTTTAAAATCAAATTTATTAAAATTTATTATTTATTATTGTAATTCAAATTAGAAATTATTTAATATATTAATATATCGTAATTTAGAAAGTAAATATTGTATATCGGTTAAATTTTTAAAGATAGATATACAATCCATTGAAATATTATTAAATGATATTTATTACTGTACCCTTAGTGGCTGGCTCTTGCATATAAATATTACTCATGTTTGTAAGTCTCCTATAATTAAAAAAATCCTTCATCAATAATATATCATATTAAATCTTTAGTAATTTATAAATCAGTCAACCAAATGGTTCTTTTCTCGAATAATCATCAGCAGGTAAGACGTACCTTCTTTCTCCTTTTAATGTTGACTTTATTGGCCCAATAAATTCTATCTGCCACTGCCCTCATATTCCTGCTGCTTTTATAGTTTCCAAGTTCCTATAGATATATCTACACATATGAACCTTAATGCAATATTTACATTCTATATTCAATTTATTTTTAACTTCCATAACTATTACCAAGTGACCATTCTCCATCTCCTCGATGATCTTCATATTTGCAGGTCCACGGCACACATCCTTCTCTGTGATTAGATACGTTGCCCCTTTCCTGTTTCTTGATTTGACATAACATGCATTGCCTCTTCTCAATGCTTTTATTTAAACCACTCCCTTTTCTTTATATACCTCAGCACCATCATTCTGAAATATAACACATTGGCGATGACTTTGACCACTGATATTAATATTTATTTAGATCAGGAATACAACATACCTTCCAATCTCACTGTATTCTCTATATAGTTGTTATAAAAGGCCATCACCTAAATTAATTTTAATCCCTTTTGTCTGCCTAAACCATCTCCATTTTCTGAATTTTTATTTGACCATCAAAGATTTTTATCTTGTATGTCAAATGGTTAACTGACCTAGAATGCAATAGACATATCATACTTTACATACTTATATTGCTGCTTCAATTTTTTCTCGCTATGAAATATAATTCTTGGCATCTACGCTTATTTCAACAGAATATTGTCTTTTCTAACTTACACTATTTAATTATAACTAGAGGTTATGTTAATACAAATACATTCTTTTCGTGATGCAGGCACACCTGCATGGACACAACAATGCTTCCGGCGTTTGTTTGTAATTTTTTCTCATTTGCCATGCACTCTCCTGTTCACTTGGAGAAAAATTAACAAATCGCTCAATTTCTGTGTTTAATTTATGAAATTTTATAATTGCGTTGTAAAAGCGTACCTTTGCATATTTGTCGTCTGCCAGGTAAAGAAATGAATGCTGATTGTCTAATTAATCCACTCTTTGGGCTGAACTTCTTAAACAATGCAGAAAACTTTATAGGGTCCTTAAGTGAACAAAAAGAAGGGAAGAGAATGTAAATTAGTTATTTATGCCGTTTTATTGTTTTCTTTATCCTGTTTCACGTAATATTGTTTACGCGCACTCGTGGCGCCATCAGTGCTCATCCTACCGAACCTGATGTTCACGTCTAAACTGATAAATGGCACTGTTTTCAATTTAATAGATTACTAACTCTGGTTATGTGCTTCTGATGCTTCCTAATAAATCAATTCGGCAATGGAAAATTCACTAATTACTCAATATCTATGATTAATTTATGAACTTTTATAATTACGTCGTAAAGGCAGATCCTTCAAGAACGTTCCAATATACCTTTGGATATAAATTTGTCTCTAATTAATTAATTATTAGTGATTATTCCACAGAGTGTTTGAATTTTTGCCGGACATAGTAATAATTTTTCAGTAATTATTATCCTCTACGCAATTAATTAATGAAATTTTTTGCACTCATTACAAAGATAATGTTCTTGCGAATCTTCTCATATAACTTTTGATCACATTTTGCTTCTAGTTTCGTTTATTATTATATATTTTCACGTAAGATCGTGATGGTCGTCGTTACGAAATTATGGACGCCATCAAACAGTAGTAATAACTAACTAATTCGTAACAAATTATGTACGAAAATAACATAAAAATATTGCTCAAAGTTTCAGCTTTGTAATGCAATTATAAAAGTTAATAAATTAATTACAAAAGTTGAGTAATTTATTAACATTTCACTGACGGAGTCCTTCTATCCTTTTCTATCCTACCTCTATCCTTGTCTGACACGTGACGAACTTTTCGACGACCTCCATGCCTATTCTATGATAAAATTAAAAGGGAAAGTAACATAACAAATTTACGAAATATAGCATACTTTTAATGATTGCTTTTGAAGAAAATTTGTACAAAATAAAATGTGATAATAAAATGAAATAATTATCTTATAATAACTTGTATGACAATATTATGTTGGTCTACTAACTAAAAAATTATAAAACTATGTAATACTACAAAACTATACTTTTGCTGTATTATTACCATTATATTATAAAAATATAGTTTACAAATGTACATTATTAAACATTTAAGTTTTTTGTTATTCGAAGAGTATATAACATTATATAACGATCAGTCAAAAATAATTCAAGTTAAACACAGTTATTGCTAAGTATGATATCCTTGTACACATTTCTAATATAAATAGTCTTTTCCAACTTTTACGATATTGTTTACACAATGGTTGCATATAATATAAATTTAGCAATATGTATAGAAAAAAATACTTCATTATTTTATTGTTAATACTATACTATATTTTTGACGTGTGTAAGTACGTGTTAAAACTTCTTTTCATAAGGAAATTTTGCTTATTATCAATTCACTCGTACAATAATTATTTATGCATTGTATTCAAGATTATCATCTTGTGCTTTGATCTCTTCCTTCAGACTGAGGCTTCTAGTACCTTTCTTAAATTTCCAAAGTCCTCCGATGTGCCATAAGATAACACAGGAGAGGCTCAAAATTGACGTGAAATGAAGAGCACCCACATAGCTCATCATTGTGTCGTGTACTAAACCTTAAACGTAAGAAAAAGGGAGATATATTTAGAAAATAATTTATTATACATGAATGTATTATAATTTTCCATTTGGAAGGCTATTACATCAAATATTGAAAATACATTATTACGTGATCAAAAATAGTAGAACAGTTCATTAAATAATTAATTAAAACTAATTGACAAATTCTATAAAACTGACTACGAAGTAATTCATAGCTTAATTGTGTTTGCTATAATTATATTAGGAATACAAGGTAAATAAATCTCTATAAATTGTAAATGTAAAATAATATAAAGTTGTGTATTTAGACGGAAATATAAATATCTGTAATAAATATTTATATATTGGAACGCATAATTCATAATATATAAATAAATAAATCTTGATAAAAATATTGAGTTAAAATAACTAAACATGTATAATATTTGTATGAACAAGCGACTTTAATAAATTATTCCTTTTGCTCTAAACTCCAAAAAGATTAATAATCACGTTTTTGCTAAATTATTTATATTCCTGTAAATAAATTTTGACAGTGAAAAATATTTCTTTTTTTGTTTTCATTATTTATTAATTCTTTTATTATTGTCTCTTCAGCTCTAAAGCTTATGAGTTTAACAATCATATAAAACTTTTTCTGAGTACCTACATCACATTTTAATGTACAATCAATTATATACTTTTCTTACTAATTTTAAACTCACTTCATTTTAATTTTGAGTCACGATTTTTCTTATATTTAGTATTTAATATTTGATATTCGATATTCGATATTTGATATTTAATACTTAATATATAATATTTAATTATTTAATAATAATTTATATTTAATTGAATAAAAAGGCAATGTATTCTGTTCTTATTGCAAAAGGATAGATGGAACTAATTGGGCTATTTGCAAAGTATCATAGTACTTTTCCAAATTACACCCGAAATTGTCAAATAAGGGCAATTACATTTAAAAAATTTTTAATCGAATAAAGAAAGACTGAACCTTGCTTCTTACCTATAATTGGACCTATAGTAATGGACAGTATTCCATTGCAAACCATTTGCATTCCATACGCAGCTGGCAGTCTTTCGAGAGGCACATAGTCAGGGATTATTAACGCTTGGAAGACAGCTTTTGTGCCTTTGGCGATGCCAATAATTAATGCTACAGCAATTACCACGATGTAGGAGCTGCCCCAAGTAGACAATACTGAAACGAATAATATCGATTTAAATTCATTCATGCAACATTATACTTATAATAATCTTTAAATTAACACGGTGACTATAAGACCAATCCCTGGTTAAAGTGCTTTATCTTATACGTAATATACGTAAATAATATACGTAATAAATATAATATAATATAATATACGAAATATAATATAATATAATATACTTTGTAATATACGTAAATAAATATAATATAATATAATATACGAAATAAAACTATAGTAATTAGCCATTTGATAACGATTACCGTAAATTTAAGTAAGTATTACTTTAAGTTTAGTATTACTATAAAATGGTATACAATCAGTTTAGATCGCCATAAAATCTCTTTCACTCCAAAACGAATTTAGAAAAGTATTATATCGTACATTATTTTAATTAGATTATTTTGGCTTCTTATTTCAATAATCACATCATGTTGCATATTTTATTAATCACGTTATTTTTTTTATATAATATAATATAATATAAATAATTAGTACGGATTTAATTATTTAAATAACTATAATACTATGGAATTTACATTTGAATGACTATTAAACTATAATATCCGATAAAGATATTGAAATACGAATTACAAGTAAATTTTAACATGTCTAAAAACTTGTTAAAAGATGTATTATATAACACTTTTTACATATTGCGCTTCTCTTAATTTATCACATAAATGATTATTAAATAATATAAATTTTGTAAATTTTTTTTTAACTGATTTTGTCACTGGTGTCAGCAGCCACTGGAGACTCCTATGATAGTTAATGTTTTAATAAAGTGTTATTCATTACATATTAACATATTTAAATACGCAGATGTCTACACATAACTATTATTTTTGTATGAAATGAAACTTTTATCTGTGATATGAAAATACAATAAAGAAAAAATTTGTTCACGAACAATCCAATAGGTCCAATATTCGTCACTATCATTGGATCTATACAGATTACCATAAATCTGAAATCAACCCACCCAGCAGATCGTAAATTTGTTGCCGTGAAGGGGTCGATTTCTCATTTTCGAATATTTTACGTTGCTGTACGTACTGGTCCTTCCAAGAGTGGATCCTATCAAGGATAACACGTAAAGGTTCCTCGACGTCCAGCCGGTTTTCTGGGCCAGGAATGGGACGCACAGACGTGCTGTGATGTCTGAGACCGCTTGGATGGACATCACGGTTGCGATCGAGGTTCTTTCGAGCCCAGATAATTCGGTCAAGACGAAAGGAATCATCGTGTTAAAGTTCGTTTCAGCGACTAAAGATACACCCATACCTATATATAACACAAAAATTATGAAGAAATTAGCAAAGGAGGATATTTACATAATGAAATTCATTGATTGGGTATTCAAGTGGGTATTATAACTGTATTTTACAATTGACGTATATTTTTTCAACTTTCTCGTTATTTTTTTAATAAACAATTATGGTTTTGGATCCCTAAAAGGTGTAGAAACATATTCTGAAAATATTTCTCACTGGCAAGCAAAATTAAATTTGGAAAATTTGTTAATTTTAACATTTCCTTTCTTATAATTTCAAATTACAATTGTTATTTAAAATACAATCTGAAATATAATTATATTATATTTCTTATAAAATTTGGAAAATTTTTTAATTTTAACATTTCCTTTCTTATAATTTCAAATTACAATTGTTATTTAAAATGCAATCTGAAATATAATTATATTATATAATATTACATTACATTTTAAATTTCTTCTACTAATTTAAAAGAAATATACATATATGCAACGAAAAATTTTAAACTTGCTCTTTTATACGTATTTTATTATATTATTATAAACATGTTTCTTATTTTTTGAAGTATGTATTTTAATTTCTCATTAATTGAAAGTTTGCTAGCATTAATACTAAAACTATCAATCCAGTCAAATAACTGGCCTTAGAATTTTCCTTTTTGCAATTACTTAAAACATGTATTTGCTTTTCAAAAAATTAGTATTGACTCATAGATAGAACTGTAATTAATATATTTACTTATCTTCAACGTTCCACTAAAATTACTATTATCTATGTCTGCTATGTTTAAGTACTTATTAAAGATCGATAATTCTAGTATTAAACCCGATCTGATATTATATAATCCGTACAGTCAAAACAGTACAGTAAAATAGTACAGCGTGAACGAATAAATCGGCAATTGAAAAATGTAAATACATAAAACTTAACTCCCAAATTAAATGGAGTTACAGAGAGGGTTAAATAATTTTTGTATTACCGAGGATAACAGCGACGTAGCGACTATCGTTCAAAAGGGCAAGATCCAAATGCTCTGAAATCTTTGTCAGAATCGACGTTTTCTCTTTCTCCTTGTTCTCATTGTTCACGTTCTTCGATAGCTGTTGTTCGAAATTGTTCGTCTTCTGTTCAGTCTCGTCCAATAGTCGACGATTAGCATCGTTTTTGGCATCGGTTACATTTTCGACTTTTAATCGTCCGACTGCTTTCATTACACCGTGGTCGTTGCATTCTGCGGAAGATGCCGTGATGTCATTGTCCTTTGTTATACTTGTAATCTATTACAAATCAAATCTGACGGTGAACGTTAATCACTGCTACCTTCGCGAAATTTTAAGAAGACAATGAACCGTGAACAATATATTCCCGCTGTTTTTAGTTGTTAAAGTCTAAAATAGTATAATTACTAGCGACTGTAATAGCTAAGGTATATTTCGTAAATAAAACATAAATAAAACGTATTTTCAAAAATTCTAGACGAACTATATCTTGGGAAACAATAAATGTATGAAACGTGTCTAATACAAGATCTTTTCAAGTAACAAACAATGAAATGAGTTTATAATAGGTTTAAATTATTTGCTGTAAAATATATAATGAATTTCTTTGCTTATTTAAAAATGTGAATATCATTTAATAAATTTAGTGCCGACTAGAAAAGCTGAAACTGAACAAAATGAGTCTAACGTGAGTTAGTAACATTTAAGAGAAGTGTTATAGAAAATTGGTTTTGAATGATAATTATAATATTTAAAAGAAATTATGTTAAAGAATAAAGATCATATTAATAATGTTTATTTCAACATGTAACAAAAATTCAAAAAGTATTTTACATTCAAATTCATTACGATTAGTAAGTCGATATACTATCGTTGGAACTAACAATGAAAGGATGAAAGCTTCCATATATCTTAAAACAGGTTTAATTTCAAAATAAAAAATTATTTACTATATTATGTATCGTATATAAGTAGATTGAAATATGATTTTGCATTCTATATTGTACTTCTAACCAGAATATCAAATTCTATTTGTATACACAGCTTTGACATATTATTTTTAACATAAGGGTTACTAAACTTTTCAAACTGGTGTGTTTCAGACTTTGATTTTTGTAGTTCTTGGAAACATATGCACATTTTTGCTAAATTAGTTTTAACATTTATTGACATGATATCTTGATTACATAATACTCATTTATTTTTATTATACCGTTTGAAATATAATCATTCATTTATACGACAATACTTATAGATGAATATTATAAATCAATGTTTATAATTTTAAATGTTGTGTATACAGTTATTATTTATACAATTATCTAATAGTTATTTAATATTTATAATATTTTATGATATAATTACTTGAAAATGTATTGTAGACATACAATTAAAATAATAATTGGAGAAAATACATTTTTTTGTATTAAACATCGCTGACCAAAAGACTAATTAATTAATTATTAATTAAATAATATAATTATAATTTTAGTAAATCATATAGTTTACATGCTACTACATTAGTTTACACTTCATGCTTCTAAATTATAGAAGTTCTACTTTCTAATTGTTGTTTTATATACTTGTATATTTACTAGTTAATTTACATATTATTTAAAAAACAAAATATCTTTTTTTAAATAATATGTAAATAAATATGCAATACAAAGTCTCAACATTGTATAAAAATTTGATTAGCCATTCAATGATGTTGCTCATAGGAAACTATTAAATTATAATGAATTATATCTATATTATATTTGAATAACAAAATAAGCAAATATAATCAGTAAAACACATTTTCAGACACGTTAATTTACAAATAGCTTTCTTAAAATACCTATTAAAATTTATAAAAGCTTAGAGCAATCTAATATAATAGAATTAATAACATCCATAATAGTAATTCAATAAAGTCAGAAATTAAATTAAATTAAATAGAAAAGCAATTGAATTTTTTAAAGTAAACAATATAAAATTCAATACGATGAAATATTAAATTCTATGAAGTAAAGACAGTAATTGCTGTAAAATTATAATTTAGTTTTAAATTTCAAACATAAGCCAGTGATTAGTAATTGTAAAAAAATTATAATTTGGTTTTAAATATTTTCTCGTTCAGTGTCCTCTTAACAATTACTACCTTCTCAAAGTTTGTTAAACTTACTTGTTTTTCTTTAAATGGCCTCAGAAGCAGTGCTCCAACTAACGAATGTATTGCTACACCTGCGAGAATCAAGAGAGTTCCAGTGGTAGCATAATTTTCCAATAGCACTGCTATTAAAAGAGGCATTAAAATAGGTCCAAGGCCAGTCACAGTTACTGATAAACCCATAGCTATGTTTCGTTTCTTCCGAAAATACGTGTTCATTGCGAGATTCGTGGCTGGAAACACAATGCCATGACCGATACCTATAAATTGGAATTTAATATCAATGGTCACATGATCTGATAAAAATTTTTATCATGATATATCAATTTTTAGAAACTATAACCATGTCAAAATTTGATACATGAATTTGAATTGAATTTTTATAGAGTATAATGATACTGAATGATTTCTGTTCTAATATGATGGAATTTTACAAAAAACAAACTCGCTAAAAAAAAAAACAAACTTGCTATAATGTTGCAGTTTAAGATAAGGAACTTATCTTTTGTTTAAGCTACTAATACGTGTTATCTAATAAATCATCGTCTCGGTGATTTTTCAAGGTATTTTAATACTAAGTAGACATTATTTGTTTGTGGTATGAGAAAAGTAAATCATCGTGTTCTGAAATATATTTAAAAAATTACGAAATTTAATATGTTTATTAATAATTGTAATTAGAAAATAAATTTATGCAAATAAGTAATAGTACGAAAATGGATAATAAAATTTATATTTATTTATACTTGGGAACTTATATTTTTAAATTATAAACATATCTATATATTTATTTTGTAAGAAAATAAAAAATATAAAAGTCGAAAATGAAAAATAAATTTAATTTAAAAACTACTTGACATTTTTAATTTATTTATTGTTATTAAACATAATATACTAAAATAATGAAAAACCATGAATAGTATCACGGGAAAAGAAGAAAGAATCACATATTAAAAGAAGAGGGAAATATAGTATTGCAAATACGTTGACAATTTATCAGTGTATACTATTTTCCATTAGTACTATTTATTTCACTACAATTATTAAGTATAAAATATGTTTTTTTATTCTCAACTTGACCTTTACACTATTCCAATTTTAACTGTTTTTCTACGACCCAATATTAAACCATATAATAAAGACAAATATAATAAAAAAATATATAATTAAATATTAGCAAAGTAATATATAAATTACTGTATATCTACAAATAAAAATATATAAGTAAATAATATATAGACTACTGCTACATTATGTACAAATTATATCTTACATTTTCATTAAACAAATGAATGTAAAAAGACTGATACATTCACATATCACTCTGTTAATGTTTGATTAATGACAGTCATCTGTTTAAATTATTGTGTAACGAAATTCTTTTACCTCTTTCATTTCCCATTATACTGTGTGTATAAATTTAAACGTATAATGACAATAACGTTTTGTTTCAAAAATAAAAGTCAAAAAAGGGAAAAGTACGCGATACAGATTACTCACCAACGATAATACAATAAGTGATAATAATGGAGGGGAGAGAGACTGCGAAGGCAGCCATGCAGATGCCAATGGCGACAGTGAAACCACCGAGGAAGGCGACCTTTCGGAATGTAAATCTCTTCATCATTGGCCCGCTTATCAGACCCAAGCTGCACGTGATTGTACCATTCAAATGTATAATTAACGACGTCTGCGTTGCAGTGATACCGAGTGAAATGAATCGTTCCCTGAAGATTAGTCCGAAGCTTTGTTGTATCGGAAATATAGCCAAGTGTAATATATTTATTTTTAATTTATTTTTAATTTTATTAATAAACAGATTTAATGACAATAATTTTCTGAAACGGCTGTCATTGTCGAATCAAGCATAGATTTGATTCAGTTTAACATTTCAGTTCAATGAATGGAATTAGAAAATTAAATAGATATTTACACGAAAGATTTTATGATTGATTTAAAGTAACTCTAGATATTAATAATAATTTATTCGGATTCCTCCATTGGCAATAACACTCTGTTGTAATAAATGTAAGAACAATATTTATTAAATGCAATTTATATTAATATAAACAGTAATTATTTCACTTCTAACGTAATCTGTTATTTAACGTAATTAATATAAGAACGTAACTCAAATAAAATATAAATTTTAGTATAAATATAATATAAGTATATTTAAATTATTCATACAAAAATAGCAATTTAATTATTCTACATATATACTTCAAATGGTATCATAAATTTAAATTAGAAGGACTAAAAAGAATTGCATAAACATTAGAAAATTATTATAATTTTTAACGAATAATTCGCAGATACTTCAATATAATATATTCCTATACTAATTTCTATAATAGCCACATACAACTAGTTATCGTAACGTAAATAAACATACAAGAAAAAACAAAACAAAACAATTACTTTAGACATATAATTCAAATTCATTTCCCTGAGAAACAGAGTAACAGTGAGATGTTTTCTGCTCTGTATTATAGTAACTTAATTTTTTTTATGTTAAACAATGCTCATTTCTTTTGTCATTATTACACAATAAATATAGATATATTTACAATATCCGCCTTACTTTGTTTCGAAATCATTCTCAAACTTCTATTTTCGAATGAAACATATTTTCATATGTAAATGGTCAACGATCTCTGATTTTTATTCTTTAATGTAGCTGGAAACGCGTACGCTCGTCGCATGCGCCTCACACGGTTACTTAGCAACTAAATCTATAGTGCGTGTAGTTCCGGCCGTCGCAGTCGCTCGTAAAACGAGTCAGTCGTCCAGACGAATTGAAAGAGAGAAAACTCGGTCAAACTTACGTAAATGATCGACACGCCTGCGACGATTACCCACGCCCAACCTCTATCGGCTTCGCCACGTGACATTTTATCGATCATCCTTGAGATTCCACTTCTACATTCACTTCACTGTTCTTGCAGGAATGATGAGGCCACGGCGTCGATCCTTTGTCTCCTTCGTCGTGCCTTCGAGACGATGGCAGACTGCAAACTTAACGTGTCGACCAAATACAAGACGGGATTGGGCAAATGATAAGATACGCGCTAGCCTAGATAAGTGTTAGACGTGTACGCCTACGCAGCCAAGTGCATGAATTGTTTACAGACCTGCAGATCCACAGTGAAATCGTATTGAGTTATTTGAACAGTCAATCATGTTCTAACAGTCAATTATTGTTCATCGGTTATTGTGAAAAATTTCAACGGTTAGTTTGTGTGCGTGTAATCGTTTTTGCTATTAAAAGTGAATATTATGGTTTTATGAGAATAATAGATAGGTTTGTGTGATGGAAATATTTGTTTGGTAAAGATGAATTTAAATGCGTTTCGTGTATTGGGAAAAAGATAGGTTATGGTCGAAATTCGATGTAATATATAACGATTTAAATACGTGTTTCGTGTATAATTTAATCGGTTTATTTATAAATTCAAAAAAATAAAGTGCTTTTTCTGGTCCTTTTATATTTACTAAATGACGATTATATAGATGTCTTTCGATATGGAGAGAATCCGAGACATCATTTTGATATTTGCTAAGCGAGAATTCTATACATGTACATAGATACCTGTTAAGATTGATCGAATTAATAGGTTATGGGAGTAACTAGGTCACTTACTCTAATCTGTTAAATATTTTGATAGCGTAATACGTTATTCATGACATGGACCAAAAGAAATTGACGAACCATTTTGTCACATGATGTAATTGAATGAAATAATAATGAAATATCCTTTTTTAATATATTTTATATATAAT